CGGATGATTCCTCGGAGGCGCCTGTAAAGGACAGAAAAGCAATTCAAAACTAAGCGGCGTACTTATTCACATCGCAAATCCACAAATTTAAAAAAAAAAAAAAAAAATTGTTCTCATCTCGAATCTCGAAGAGTACATAATCAAAACGGAATTAAAGATCACCTGAGGGGAGGGACGATAGCGCCAGAGAGCAAGCCTCCAGTCAGAATTCGGTACAGAGGCATAATGAAGCTCGTCGGCCGTACAAATCGACGGCTTCTCGGGAACTCTCACGGCAGCACATGTGGAGAAGGCTCTCAATTTGAAGGAGGGGAAGAGCAGTTTACATGGAACGGCAGCGGTTCGGCGGGGCCTAAAAGTAGGGGAGAGGGAGCGGAAGGTGGAGGAGGCGATGTGATAAGCACAGCGAATGTCGGATTGCACTGTCGCCATCGCCGGAGGCGATTGCGCAAGAGCTGGAGCGTCGTCACCGACCTACGTAATCCTTTTCTTTTCTTTTTTATTTTCTTTTTTCAATTAGTAAAATAAGGGACCGTTACTTTTTTACCCAACCAACCTATTGAATGCCTATCTTAAAATGAGTAGAAAATTCTTTTTATAATATATATATATATATATATATATATATATATATATAATATTATTAATATTGAAATAAGTTTTAAAATTTTTATGAAAATGGAAGTAAATTAAGAAGTGAAAATGGAATAGACACCCACTGGACCAGACATGTTGTAACTCGGATAAAAACACACTATTCTCACACAAAAACTCGAAATTTGAAATTTTTAATCGATGCACAATTTTTCAACACAGCCACAAAAATGAATATAGAAACGTCATTTACATTCAATTTTGATATGGACACATAATAGTTTAAGGACTTCACGGGATGAAATCAACTCCTGTGTGGACGACAAGTGTCACGGTCCTACTTTTGCAAACGTACGGCATCGTGATTTTGACAAGAAGCACAATGTTATGAGTTTCACTTTTATTGTCCCGGTACAAAGCTTAACAATTTCCTACTTCCACACAAAATGACCATCTTTCCTCACACTACAACAAAAGTTCATCATTTTAGACCTCCAAAGCTCACCTTCAATAAACCTCGGAAAACTTTTTAAATTAGTTTCATTTGTGTATGTTCGAGATATGAACAAGTTGTTTGATTATGTCCCCCTGTCAAAAAAGATAGTTGATGTGATCCCACTTCCGTAATACTTGATATCTTCGTTCATCTTAAATAATTGTTCCTAAATAGCTTAACTCCTCAATTCCATGACCGTGTCATTTGACCTAAAATAACTCCTTAGCTAGTTAATTTTTTATAGGAGACGTAGCCATCCATTGTCACTCTTTTAAGGCTTCACATGTCACAATTTGATTGATCTCTGATGTCTGTCGGTTAACCAAAACTTCATAACATCAAAATACCAGTAATTAAAAGCAGGTGTGTATCATCAAAATATTAATTAATTTGAGATCAATGATAAAAAAAAAAAAAAAAATTAACAACTTTATCTTCAAGGCTCTCAAACCTCAACCTCAATTCTTGGATGGGTATCTTGTCTAGGCGGCTAGCCGCCACAGTCTTGTCGGTTTTGGTGACAATTCTATGTAAGAGATATTTCAAAAATCAAAAATTGTCATGGACTTCTTGCAAATAAAGCATATGTTTTTCGATCTCGACCAATCTATCAACGTTGGACTTATCAAATTGCTTAGTCGTGCACATGCTTAATGATTCCACTTCTAGGAACCGACTCAACTCTAATATCAACCTCACAATTGCACTATTTTGACACTTAATAAGTCAGCCAACTAAACCATGAGTTGTTAGTAGCACAAACAATCTATACTTTACCTTCCACGGAATAAAGATAGCATTGACATAAGGAGACCAATGGATGAGTCAGTAAGTTGTTTAAAAAGTTGAAAAGAAATTTAAAAGGTAAATAAAATAAAAACATTTTTAATCAAAATAAATAAAGCTCGTTGAGGTATCCTTTTTTAAAATTAAAATTAAAAATCCAAAACATGTAAGGTACAATTTTATTATCCAATGTAAAGTTTTCATGGCATGATTATGACCGTATTTCATATTAAGATGTTTCTCCATAACTCACTTTCAAAGCTTGCTCCTCTTCTTATCAGTCGTTCATAGTCTCTCCTGCCTTCAATGATCCAATACTTGAAAAGATAATTCTTCGATTTCATGGTATTGAACCTCTACTCATCAAGTTGACGTTACTGTGTCTCTATCAGTGTCGTTTAAAAATGGTGTAACTGGGTTTCATATTTCTATCAAACTCCAATATTCCTTTGAAAATAGAAAATTCTCCATGAACATTGTTTAATGATTGTAATGACCGTTGAACTTAGGAATTAAAAGTAGCACAAATGTATTTTATATTTCGCTTACTATGTGAATTTTCGCTAGCAGCACCTAAGTTTTATTAGGCCTATGATAGCCTCTAATGAAACAGAAAACAAGTTCAAACATATGTGGTAGAACTGAATTGCTTGATTTCACAGCCCTGATACTACAATGTTGAACAGAAAATAGCTTCAAATATATATAGTGAGAACTAAATTGCTTGATTTGATAGTTCATCCTCCACGACACCGCTCGATAGTAATCACTCATGTGCATCATGGTGTTCTTTGGCTTGTTAGTCGTCTCTTCCATGACGTTATCTACACTATACGGCGCAATGAGTCTCGACGAGGTGGTTGTTGGCGTCGTGCTCGTCATGAGGTAACTCGATAGTTTTTTCTAGTTCTCCCTCGTTTTTCCTCTGTATCATGTTATTTTTCCTTTGCATGTGGATTCTGTGAGGTGCAGTTGAAAGTCATCGGCGTATTCTTGACATCATTCTTGACATAAGGGGAAAATGTTTAGAGTGAGAGTGCGAGAATTCTGACCATTTTTTTCAGCGACCTTTTTTTTAATCCTTGCCGTATCAATTTACCAAACACCTGCCTCTTAATGGTTAAAGGTAAGACTTACCGAACACTAATTTACTTTGTACTATAAGTAGTTTATTTCAGGAGCTTAAATTTTTTACCAAATAGTTATTAAAAAAAAAATTAAAATTAAAATTTTTTTGTGCTGGTTCCTTTATTGAATAATTCTTATTAAGCATTTGACAACCTTAAATTTTAATATATATTTATTTCGATAAAAATAAGATGAGAGCGGGTCAAAGCCTACTAATTTAATTTATTTACTTGACATATTAATATTTAATAATTTCGGACTCTTTGGAATTCCAAATAATATATGATTGGATCATAACCTTTAAAAGAATTATGTGAATTTAGCTAATAATTTTAATTTTATTTGCTGTCCCTATCTCTCTCTTTTTTTAATACCTTAACTTGTTCTAAACACTTTAATTTAATTATGTAAATTAATTCTTTTTTTTTCTCTCCAACGTATTCAAATAATTTGACCAAATCAATTCGAGTATTTATACGATTTGATAATTCGACCAATTCAAATTGAGTTTCCGTTATGGATTGACATTTTTTTGTCAGGTCAACCAGACAAACTCGAAAATATGGATAAAAAAAAGAACCATCCATTTATAAATGTAACATGCATTGTGAATAAATATAATTTTTTGATAACCCAACTCAGGTTACTCGGGTCACTAATCCAACTACGGGATGGTTTAAAAGATTTCTCAAACACGACTCACTAATCCAACTACGGGATGGTTTAAAAGATTTCTCAAACACAACCCACTAATCCAACTTCGGGATGGTTTAAAAGATTTCTCAAACACGACCTAACTCACTCAGCTATTTACAATTAATTGACCAAGTCTCCGAACACATCCTCTTCAAACTTTCCCTTGGAATTTTGCAAGCAACCATTTTAAAATTTGTTTTAGAAATGTTTCTATTTCTTATTTTTGTCTCATTCTTTTTTCCTCTTTTCCATATATATATATATGTTTTATAATTCCCTTTTTTTTCTTTTAAAATTTAAATTTAAACTATTGTTTATATTTGTTTTAAAATATTTATTGTGCATGTCTTTATATAAAAAATGGAATGGTCAATAATAAGAAACAAACAAAAAAGAAAAAAACAAGTTTTGAATATTCCAAAAATTACAACTTTTTAAAAACAAGAAACAAGTTACAACTACCAAATAATTATAAGAAAAGAATAGAGGAAAATAATTTTTGAAATAAAAAATTAATTAGAAGAGACCCCACAATATACATGATCCAATAATTATATATATAATTATCAAATAATTATTTTACCCAAAACTCATCCAATTTTTTTTATAAAAAGCTTTTAATCTCAAAGAACAAGTCTTTATTCAAACCCCCCATAGGTTTTGCCAATAATAACCTCTATATAAACTCCCTCTTTCCCCCAAATGGATATCATTGCAACCCCATCAGCTCAAGGCATGAGGAGGCTATGGAGAAGAAGAGGATACCAAAAGCTAGGAAGTGATACTCGCCCTACAAGATCAAGGAGCTTCAGGCTTCGGCGACTATGGCATATGAGACGACAAGCTTCAAAGGTGCAGCTGAAAATAGCGTCGCCTTTGAAACTTTTGGCGAAGTTTCACGACACGTATGTCGAGATGATGATGAAGGTAGCGAATAGTGTGGGGAATATATATGCCATTGGAGCTTTTGGCAATGGGAAGAGGATACCAAAACCTCGTAATCAAGTTTCTCTTGCTACTTGTGATGGTGAACATGTTGATGCCAAGTTCGTCTTGGAAATCTATAACAAACTTGCTCCTTCTAAGAACTTGGCTAATGGTTTTTGAAATCGATGTGATTCAAACTTATGATGTATTATTTTTTATTGTCTTTCTAACATCGAATCGAGTTTAAAAAATTAAAGCTTGTTGACTAGAACGCAGAGTAAACCTTTTGCCCTCATCAACCTAGTTTGAGCAAAATGGTATCCATTCAACCACCATCTCATAGCTAAATACCATGCAAAAGAGGAGATGCATAAGTTACAACATAATTAACATTGCTAAATATGTAGAGTTGATAAGCTAGTTTTCAGTCATGTACATTTTTAAACACCTCTAGAACATTAGAGAAGTAAAACATACCTATTTATGGGTTGTTTCCCATTGGAAAGTTTTCTGTATTGTCACCGAGAAAGCTGTCTGGACCGCTTCTATTTTCAAGAACAGTGTTCTTTAGCCACTCGCTGTATTTATCTACGTCGCTCAGATTTAAGTCGCTGTCAAAGTCGTGTGGATCGTCTTCTAAAAAATTTAAGAGATAATCATATTCGGCTGATTGTTGTTGGCTTCCTTCATTTCCAAAATTTGCAGCAATATTGTCCAAGTTGGTTGAATAAGGAAAAGCCATGTTGTTTGACATCAACTGAATCCCTTCTGATGTGCCATTACATTCCATTGCTTCTTGGTTTCCAATCTTGAAAGCAGTCAAATCTTGCTGTACTACATCAAGAGGATTATCTGAGAACTGAGTTCCATCAAATACACAAGAAGAAGTTACCTCTGGAGTTGTTTGATTGATGATATATGGAACTGAATAGTAGTTTGAATCAACATGCCGAAAATTTTGGTCAAGCATTATGAGACCATGGTTTGCAAAGTTGGCGCTAACAGGCAGTGTAGGATTAGGCACAGGTCTAGGAGCAATAAGTCGGAATCTTTCCCCTCCTATAAAAGAGGTTGAACCTCCCTTTGTAGAGCTGTTTGCCTCATCGTGAGGCTGCTTTGGCACCAACGGAGGAGGAAGTTGAGTCCTGACTGAGAAATTGAATTTGGATGTTTCCCTCCTTGGAGCTAATTTATTTTCTCTCCCCTTTTTCATGGACTCTACTTGTGCTTTGTATTTCTGATAGGATAATGCATTGTTAGAACAAATCTAATACGAAAATTCTATTTTATGCGAAGAAGAAGAATGAAACATACCTGCAGGTGGTTCGCTACCTGGCGTAGGGTCAAGCATGGTTCATTCATCAATTTCAGTATAAGTTTTGGACGACCTTCAAAACAAGAAGAAAACATCAGTATTAGATTTGTTCAAATACTAAAAAAATAAAAATAATGCTGGAGAGAGAGGTGAAATTACATTTATCACCAAGCTTGTTGAGGGCGTCGGAGAATTTGCGACGTCGTTCCACATTCCAAACGACACGTGATTTGTTATCACTAGAAATATAATATTCCTTCATTCTTCTATTATCCTCATCAATTCTTGTATCTCCAAAATTGGTAGGCGTTGAGTAATATGTAACTCTATTCTCCTTACTTGTTCCTTCTATGTCATCCGTTAATCTCTTTCCTTCGAAGTATGAAGCATTAGTTGGCTGATTCTGCACTTCTTCGTTATAGCTCATAAGTTGATAGTTAATACTACAATTATTATTAATACTAACTTCATCGGTGGACTGAGATAAAACAATAGTATCGTCGTTTTGGATACCGACAGATTCTTTTCCAGATTTGGCTTTTTCTACGCAATTTGCTTCATGGGTTAGCTTGGATATGTTTCTGTTTCTTCGATACACGTGTTGCCATACATATTTGAGATCATCCTTGGAAATAGGTTTCTGAAGAAAATAACACGCTCCTTCTGCCAATGCTCTCGTGGCCACATCCAAGTTCATCACTGATGACATAACTGCCAAACAACAAAGTAGCTTAAGAATAATGAAGACATTTAATTGAATGAGATAGTAAAGCAAAATTGAGCTTACAAATGACAACAATATTCATCTCAAGGAGCACATGCAAGAACGAAAAGCTGTCCATATCCGGCATGCTAACGTTAGCCATGACAAGGTCGAACTGGTCACCTCTTTCTTTAATCATTGACAGAGCAATAGATCCTAGTCCAGTGGCCGTAACTAAAGATAAAAAAAAATCATGTCATACACAAAAAGGTTCATAGAAAAGGAAAAACAAAAACTTAAAGTTGAAGGATACACCGATAACTAGTTCCACAAATGAAGAACCGAAAAACCAATTATACATTGAGAGATCAGACACACACAGAATTGATCTTGTAGAAACTTAAATAAGGAAGACATTCATATCTTATACTTTTATGGTCTGAAATTACCAGAAAAAGAAGAAATTGAACATCTCACCAAATATCTTTATATGGAAATGTAGTATTAAATAAAAACAATCCCTCATGAACTTTCCTTCAACAAACCATGCGCTAAGATAAAAACGTTTATGAATCAAAAACTAATAAAATAATTAAGAAATCAAGTTAACATTTCCGTGTTTGAGAAGTTGTAGATCGATCTATAACAATTTTAAAAACTCAAACCCCATTATTAATCTGTCACTAAAATGGATTGAGTTTCTTTCAAGATTACACTTAACGTAGCTTTAGATTATTACTGACAAAATTAAAATTAGGAGGGTGATTAAAATTAGGATGGTGAAAGAGATTTTGTGATGCCATGTACCATTGTAAGACTGCTCTCTAAGCAAGGAACTCAAGTGCTTGAGAGACAAGGTTTCATGATCCACCACCAAGATATGAAGATTTTTGGCAAAGCTAGGAAGAGAATCAGGGACCCAATGACCCATTTCCTGACTCATTTCCTGCATTTTCCAGAGAGTCTGAAAGAAGGGAGATTAAATTCCGAGAGAGTCTCAAAAGAGGGAGATTGAGAGAAAGCGAAGAGAGATGAACAACCCCAAAAGCCCAAAAGGAGAAGAGACAGCTAAATTCTCAACATGCAAGAGACATAGATGAAGAAGCTGAAGAAGATGAAGAGGATGAAGAAGAGAGAGAGAGTCAATGACGGTGCTGTTAACAAGGCTTCGAAGGCAAAAGCAAGAGAAGAAGCTGGCAAATGATGAATGGATGAGAGTAGCCCACAGCTAAAGAATCTTAGTTGGAATTGAAATTTATATACATAATTTTACAAAATTGAGTGTTTTAAAAAAAAACAAGAGGGAATGAAAAAACAAGAAAGAAATGGAAAGGCATTAAAAGAAAAGTAAGATTTTACCTTTGATAGCTTCCAAAAGGGATTGAAACGGGGAGGAGGCAAAAAGATGGGTTTGAATGTGCAACACCTTGCACTATCTGAGCAAAAACATGGAGGGGGACATTCATCAAACACGTAGAGGGCAGTGACAAAAACAAACTTGGGTGAGTTTGAGAGGATATATGGTGGGTATCCTAATCTGACAGTGACAGTGAGGTGACAGTGAAGCAGCATATATTATGCTGACTTTTTGTGATACTTTTTGAGATGATCGCCATAACTGTGAGGACAAGAGGACAAAGGACAAAGGGGCAAAGGAAGGGGGAGAGTACCCTATGCTCCGGTCCTCGTTTTCATCTCCTTTCTTTTTCTAATCTTCCCATTTTCGGTTTCTTTTTTAACCACGGTTACATGCAGGGATGAACTACTCTACACTGCATCTACACTGCATCTTTGACTTTCCCTCCATCTCTTTTCCTCAATCTCGCTTTTCCTTACATCTGGCCCTATTCCCCAATCTCTCTCCATTTCTCTCTCATCCCACCTATTCAAATATTGAACTAATTTTGTATAAAGAAATTAGTTGAGATTTGAACGTAACCTTTTATGTCCTTATAATATTCCACGCAAACTTTGTATTTTGTTTGACATTACTCTTTGATTTTTTAAGAAAATCTCAAAAAATACTCTTAAATTTAAAAAAAAAATGTTAGTTTTTGGATGAAAATCAATTTTTATTTTCAAAGATACCCTTAAACTTTCTAAAAAAAATATTAAACTTTCAAAGATTTTCAAAAATACCTTTGAATTTTTAAAAAATTTGGAGATAATTTATGAAATGTACGATGAACATAAATAAAAAAAAATTAAATTTTCTTATAAAAATAAAGAGCGTTAATGGTACTTATAAAATTTAATGATTATTTTTAAACTATAGTACTAATTGTAAAAGAATATTAATGAATGATATTTTTGAACCACTATTAAACGTTCAAGGTTATTTTTGAAATAAAGTACCAGACATATTCTTATTAACTTAGCCTTTATATTGTTCTTAAATTTATCATAAAAATAGATTTAATTTTGAATTTGATTAAAGATAAATAATAAGATTAATTAATAAATAAAATGAAATTAGGGTCTGACTAATTCGATCCAACCCCTTTTCCCTCTATAAATAATATCCAATGAGAACGCAAGTTAGAAAATGATTAAAATTAAAAATGGAATTAAGTTTGCCTGTTATTATAATCCTTCTCCACATTTTCTTTTCTTTTTTAGGATAAGTTTTTATTTTATTTGTTTTTATTATGTTATTAAATTTTCATATTTTGATTTTAATTTTATTTTTACTATCAATATATATATATTTTTTTGAAAATAATGAGAGAAAAAGTCATATATCTGTTTAGTTCTTACTCACGTATATATTTGATTTGAAGGTTAGACTATTTTTCTAGCTTCCTATGACTTTTCAGTCTATATCTAAGGATAAATCTTTAACTTTTAGTTCATCAACTTAGTCGATAAAAAAAAAAAAAAAAACTTTAAATGTCTTCGAAGAATCTTCAATCTCGGGAGTGTTAAAAAAAAAACCATTTAGAAGAACACCATTCTACTTCAGAGTATAAGATGTCGTGGTCTTGCCTTTATCTAGAAAAGTGTTATAAAAAAATGAATATTTAAAAATAATCAATAAGTGGTTCACTGCTAGAGTTAGCAAAATACTTCATTACACATGGTCTGCACACATACACATGGACCTACTGAGCGAGTTCGTTAGCATATTCCTTAAACTTGTCTATAGACTAGCGCACGCTCGCGCATTTGAAACCGATATAAAAAAAAGGAATTTAAATAATATATCGTGAATATACACATTTGTACAATACATAACTAAAGAAGTAATTCATGACTCTATGATGGAACCCAAGTTGAAACAATTGAACTGAGATGATGGAAAGTTAGATGACTATAACGAACCACACACGCCCTACATGAGCCACACGAAAAGTCGACGACACTGGATAGTTGTGATGAGTGGAAGGTGTGGCTGGGCTTGGGCAACTATTTGGGTAGTTGATGGACTGGAGTTTGGGCGTGAGGTGTCCGATAGGCTGGGCTTATTGGATCATGGGCTTTGGTTTAGGATCATTGTAAGGCTATACACCTGGGTTGCTCTTTATTTGTAGTTTTGGTTTGATGTGACCAGTTGGAATTTATGTTCGAAAGACTTTTAATTAATTATTTAATTTTTTTATAATTTTTTATAATTTTATTTCTAATTATACTTTGAGAAAAGAATAGATAGTAGACCTCGTCATTAGTATCTTTTATGCTCTCAATTTATTTTTAATTTTCGAAAAAAGAAGAAATTGAGCAAAAATGCATCTGAGTTATCATTCAAGTCTATATATATATATATATTTTTGGGAGAAGTTGCAGATGGACTGCAACAACCATTAGGGGTGTACATGGTCCGGATTGAGTTGAGAGATTTTTTTGACCCAAGCTATAAAAGTTCGGGTTGGTTGAATTGGTAACTGACCCAACCTAAAACTTTTCACAACCCAACCCAACCCTCTATTTTCGGGTTGGGTTGTCAATTTTTTTTAAGTTTTATTTATCCACATTTTATAATTATTCAATATAATCTTAGATAAAATATATTAAAAATTTACAAACAAACACAAATCAATCTATAATTATTCACAAAAAAGAAAAAAAAAAATTAACATAGTTCAACGTTGTCATAAAACTAAAGACAACTAAATACCGATATTTGTTGAGAATTGGTTGAAGTAACACAAATATAAGCATAGATCATGAAATTAAATAAACAATAAAAATGATTAGTTTGAAAGTATAGTATATAACAAAAATTAAAAATATATAAAAATATTTTAATTGAAATATGTTTACTCATGCGTGATCTTATAGAGTCCTAAAAATATATATATATATATAAAAATTTGAATATAATGATGTTGCAACAAATAGATAATAAATACATTAAAATTTAGAATATGTTTGATGTCAAACTTGGGCATGAGTCTCTTTAAACCCGTCAAAGTATCACTTTAACAAACTCATTAATATATAAGAATTCTTAATATATTTTATATATTTTTATTTGGTTCGGGTCAACTCGAAGATTTTGTCCTAGAAACTGAACCGATTCAGTTCGGGTTCAGAAAAATGAACCATCCATAACAATTTCATAGTTTGGGTTGGGTTGGTCCGGGTTGAATGTACACCCCTAACAACCATCCATAAAAATTTCATAAAACCAAACCCCATCATAAATCTGCCACTAAAATGCATTGAGTTTCTTTCAAGATTACACTCACAGATTTCAACATGTTACTAGATATAAAAGGAAGCATAACATTAGCTTTAAATCATTGCTTAAAAAATTAAAATTAGGATGGTGAAAGAGATTAATGGAATGCTCTCGAGCTCAAGCAACGAAGTCAAGTGCTTGAGAGATGAGGATTCATGATCCACTAGTAAGATATGGAGATTTTAGGCCAAGCTAGGGAGAGAATCAGGGACCCAATGACCAATTTCCTCCATATCCCATAGAGAGTCTGAAAGAAGGGATTAAACTTCTAGATTTGAGAGAAAATTGGGGGAGAAAGATGAACAACCCAAAAAAAGAAAAGAGACAAAGCTAGAAGCTCAACCTGCACACAGATGATGAAGAAGAGAGAGAGAGTCAGTAGACACAGATGATGAAGGAGAGAGAGAGAGTCAGTAGACACAATGACGAAGGAGAGAAAGAGAGTCAGTAGACAGAGATGATGAAGGGGAGAGAGAGTCAGTAGACACAATGAAGAAGGAGAGAAAGAGAGTCCGTAGACAGAGATGATGAAGGGGAGAGAGAGTCGGTAGACACAGATGCTGAAGGGGAGGGAGAGTCAGACAATGAAGGAGAGTGAGAGTCAAACACAGATGATGAGAGCGAGACTCAAACACAAATGATGAAGGAGGGAGAGAGAGAGTCAGGTAATGAAAGAGGGAGAGAGAGAGAGTTAGACACAGGAGGGAAAGAGAGAGTCAAGCACAAATGATGAAGGAGGGAGAGAGAGAGTCAGACACACATGATGATGAAGGAGAAGGAGAGAGAGTCAGTACTTAGTGACACTGAAGGACAGAGAGTTAGTGCTTAGTGAAACGGAAGGAGCGAGAGAGAGAGTCAGACACACATGATGATGAAGGAGAGGGAGAGAGAGTCAGTACTTAGTGAAACTGAAGGACAGAGAGTTAGTGCTTAGTGAAACGGAAGGAGCGAGAGAGAGAGTCAGTGCTGAGTGAAACGGAGGGAGAGAGAGAGAGTCGGACATAGATGATGAATGAGAGAGAGTCAGACACAGAAGATGAAGGAGAGAGAGTCAGACACAAATGATGAAGGAGAGAGAGAATCAAACACAGGTGACGAAGGAGAGCGAGAGTTGAACACATGACGAAGGAGAGCGAGAGTTGAACACATGATGAAGGAGAGTGAAAGTCAGACACAAATGATGAAGGAGTGAAGGAGAGCGAGAGTCAGATACAGATGATGAAGGAGAGCGAGAGTTAGACACACGATGATAAAGGAGAGAGAGAGTCAGACACATGATGATGAAGGAGAGAGAAAGTCAGATACAGATGATGAAGGAGAGCGAGAGTCAAACACAAATGATGAATGAGAGCGAGAGTCAAACACAGGATGATGAAGGAGAGCAAGAGTTAAACATAGATGATGAAGGAGAGCGAGAGTTAAACACAGATGATGGAGGAGAGCGAGAGTCAAACACAGATGATGAAGGAGAGCGAGAGAGTCAGACACAGGATGATGAAGGAGAGCGAGAGTTAGACAGTGAAACGGAGGGAGAGAGAGAGAGTCGGACATAGATGATGAATGAGAGAGAGTCAGACACATGATGGGAGAG